ACTTTTAAAGTGTACCTCTCTAATTTTATTGCACATACAATATTTCTCTGGGAGTAACCACGCCCTCTTCCAGTAAATACTGTCAAAAAAATTATTCCAGAAAAATGTACATCGAGGGGATGTGTAAACTGTATAATGTAACAATAGCTTTATAAGTTTACTATTACATTTTTTATCAATAAGGCTAACTCCATCCAATAAATGTTTGGGCATAATTGTTTTCTCTCATTAAAGAAAAGGTGTGTTTTAAATAAATGCACATAACTTGGAGACAAAGCTATGATGACAGAATTGAAAATTCTAGCAGGCAGAGGAAAATTATACAGAGTCATGAATTCTTCATATTCCAGTATACTGCCATCGTTTTTAAATAAATCCAAAACAAAGACAATACCTCTGCCATACCACTTATCTATAAAAAATGATTTGTTTCGGATTAAAATGTTCAAATTATTCCACAGAATTTCTTTGTGGGGAGAAAAATTGTGCACATAACACAATTTTCAAGCAAGTAAAACTTGTTGGTGAAATTTGGAGAGAGAAATCGGTAATTTAGTAGGGGTGAAATTACATTTTAAAAGAAACTCTAAACCACCTAATCTACGAAATATGGCATTGGGGATATAGTAGTCCACCCTCAGAACGTCTATTAGACAAAACAGATTTCCTAACTTTGTGAGATCTATTCTTCCAAATAAAATTCAATAAGATTTTGTCAATATCATCACAGATTTTGTCACTAACAAATAAAGATAAAGAGGGATAAACACAACGAGACAAACCCTCTGCTTTAGAAATAAGTACTCTCCCATAGATTGACAGATCTCGTTGTAGCCAACAATTAAATATGGTTCTTGTTTTCTTTATTTTATGTGAAAAATTAAGTTGTTGGCGGAGCTATTTATCTTAAGTTAGGAAAATCCCCAGGTACTTGATACAGTCTTTTACAGGTATATTGTGCATCAATGGATGTTGAGTGTCATAAAGACAGAATAGTTCACACTTAGATACATTTAAATATAAGCCTGAAGCTGCAGAGAAAGAATTAATAATATTAATACATAAGGGAATTTGACTTTGGTCTTTAAGAAATATGGTTGTATCATCAGCTAGTTGAGATATTTTAAATTCTTTACCAAATATAGAAATACCTTTTACACTGGGATTTTGTAAAATAACAATTGATAACAATTCAACAGCTAACAGAAAAAGAAATGGGGAAATGGGGCAACCTTGGCGCACTCCTCTATCACAATTAAAACGTTCAGTAGTTTGAAAGCCAACCAAAACTAAAGAGTTAATGTCATTATAAAGCATGCTCACCATGTTGATAAAAGTACATCCAAAACCAAAAACACTAAGAGATTTTAGCAGAAATTGGTGTTCTAAAGAGTCAAATGCTTTATAAAAATCCAAAAACATTATAATAGCTTCTGAATCAATATTCTCTGAATAATCAATAAGATCAAGAACTAATCTATGTTGGAGCTAATATGCCTATTTTTCATAAATCCATTTTGTGTTTCGCCAATTATACTATTAAGGCCAGATTTTAAACGAACTGCCAAAATTAAAGCAAGTAATTTATAATCAACATTTAACAGTGATATAGGTCTCCAGTTTGCAATTAAAAGTGGGTCTTTATCAGTTTTGTGGATCAAGGAAATAAGACCCTGCTTCATTGAGGGAGTCATCTCTCCTTTTTTAATACAGTCTTTAAACAAACTAGAGGTTGCTTTAAGATATCCCAAAAATGCAAATAAAATTCAACAGACAAGCCATCAGTACCTGGAGCTTTTCCTCCCTCTTCATAGATTTCACTGCATCCTACATTTCAACTATAGAGATATCAGAATCAAAAAGTTGTTTAACGTCATCATTAATACCTGAAATCTTATCAAGAATACTCAAAAGAAAATCGTCCGATTTTTCATGAGAAAACTAAGAAGTATACAATTTTTTATAAAAGGAGTATACAAAGGTTGAAATCATTCCTTGATCTGTACATAAAACATTATTAAGGTTTAAGGCAGAGAGAGATGTCTTTTTACGATTTCTTTTTTCAAGAGCTAAAAAAGTAATTTTAGTGTTTCTTTCGCCCTTCTCGATCCATTTTGCTCTAGCGTATAAAAGCACCTTTAACAATCTCTGTGTACATATTTTCAATTTGCAAATGACATGTGCTCAATTCTACCTCATCCCCTTCACTGGGATTTTCCTTCTGCATTAACACACTTAATATATGAATGAGTTCTAATTCTTTAATGTTTTTTTCTCTTTTAATTTGCTTACTTCTTTTAACAGCAAGGTCTCTAACTTTATATTTAAAAAACTCCCAGCTAGACTCAGGGTCGCTTTCAGTATTACTAAACATAGAATTAGCTAGCTGAATTACACTATCATTAAAATTGGCGTCTTCCAAAAGACAACTGTTAAATTTCCAGTAACCCCTTGTTCTATTTAACTTACTGCCTTGTGCAAGATTCAAAGAAATTAACATGTGGTCAGTAAACGGAGCAAATTGATGATTAACAGTATGGACATCTTTCAAAATAGCATGAGAAATTAGAAAAAGATCAATTCTAGCTTTAAGCGATCCAGATTTGTTGGACCATGTAAAGCCTCTACAACCTTCGTTAAAGAAACGCCAAGCATCTGCCACTGAAAGATTTTCACACAATCATAAAATAATATTATCATGTAAATTAGAGGTAGTTCTTATAGGAAATCTGTCTTGTGCATCGTCAGGGGTTTCATTAAAATCTCCTGCTATACTTTGTATACTTGTAAGCTTAGCTCCCAATTCTTCAAACATGGATGCATTAGCATTTCCCCATAAACATTACTTAAAATGAATACCACATTTTCGGTCTTGCATACTAGAATGATCCATCTAACCTCATCAGATGAAAAAGTTTCTAAAATGTCTCCCCTAAATTTATGCATCAAAATTAGAGTACCAGCAGAACGATTGGATCCGTGACTCATAAAGATTGAGTTACCCCACTGAGTTTTCCAAAAATTGTTGTCTGATTCACAAGAATGACTTTCTTGAACAAAAATAAAATCTGCATTACTACGTTTACAATACAGAAATAAAGCTTTCCTTTTCGAATGATCTCTTAAACCTCTAACATTAAGAGAGACTAAATTAAAAGAAGAAAACTCAAAAGAATGCATGAAAACAGATTACAACAAGTGCAGTGCAACAAAACCAGCTAAACAGCTGGTAAACACAACAATATCCTACTTTTGGCTAAAGAAGTTGACTTCTTTTCCTTGAACAGGGTAGGTGGTGATCGATCAGTAATGTCTTCTATATGGCACCAAAAGAACATTTAAGGTGCAATATTGAGAAAGAGACATTAAAGAACAAATTTTTTTTTTATATAATAATAAAATAAATAAAAATAGTTCAATATCCTTAAAAGGGTGACTCAGAAGATCTGATTACACATACAAGCAAAAAAATAAATATATATATATATATATAAAATAAAAAAATAATTCAGTCTGAGGTATATTAGGCCACACTTTTCTGACCATCAATGAACGCAAAGGGCCCTGAAAAGGATGCCTTCTTACCCTCCTCTCTTGCCTTTTTAACAAGCGGCCATAACTTTGCTCTCGCAGCAGCATCTGCAGGAATCAGAGCTTCCGAAATGCGTAGACGAGACTCTCTCAGGTATGGATTATCCTTCGCAGCTTTCCAGACGAGGTCTCGGAATGACCGTGTAGAAAATCGTAGGATGATGTTTCGATGAGCGCCAACCTGATCCCGTCTCCCGACTCGGTGCATCACGTCAAGAGCGTCGTTAAGCTTACCAGCGATGTCAGGTGCCACATGTTCGACAATGTTCTTAACAACCGACCGTAGATCCTCGCTCTTGGTTTCAGGAACCCCGTGCACCTTTAAACACCAACGCCGACTGTCCCGACTCAATCCGCGATTGGACATCCTTGTCTGAAGATTGAAGCTCTGTAATATCTCTGGCCATTTTGCACATCTTCTCCGAGTGCTCATTAACATCAGAAGCAAGCTTCTGCACTACCACAGATAAGTTGTCAACGGCTTTCGACGTAGCATCAGTCGAGTTCTCAATGGAGATTAGCTTTTGTTAGTTTGGTAGCATCTTGTTTTGCAGACAGAGCTTGAATGGCATTCAAAATGTCGACGATATCTCCGCTTGTTTCAGACTTCTTTTTCGATTTTTTAGAAGGAGGACTTTTTGCAGGAGACGCTGGAAATGGTGTTGCTAAAGAAAGATTAAAATCCTGTTTCGTATCACCCGACACTGGAGGGTCAGAAAGCACAGCAAACCTGTTACTTAGGCAAGCATCAGAGACTAGCTCAAGTTTGGCGCCAACCTCGATATCCATAGCTTTCGGAAAAACTCGTCTCTTTCTGCCCATTTACAAATGTCAATGCAAAAATGTTCACAAAATATAAATGAAGAATTAAAATGACTGATCAATCACATTACTACCACAACCGCCAGAGCGCAACTTTACACGTCCACCAACCACAACGCCATCTTGGCCCCCTTCTCCTCCAGTTTTCACTTTAGGCTTGCTCGACTTCATGCAGCTCTGCGCAGACCGATCGGCGGCTGACTTGAAGCAGTGCATGCCGGTTAGAAATTTTGTCCGACTTGATACAGCGCCGACGCTACGTGACGTATGCCATCTAAGTACCACGAGAGCGAATCGAGAGTAGCCGGAGAACTCAGCCAGCGCAGCTTCTCAAGAGCGACTGCAGGAGCTTTGATTACGACACAGAGTTGTTCCACGATTGGCCGGATTCACCGCATGACAACGATCACGTGCGTTTCGTGTTTATTCGGTTTATTCTCACATCTTTAGTTCCCACTAAAGCTCACAAATCAGTTTTTTTTATAACAGTAAACACTCTTTTCATGTAGACGCGGTGTTATATTGTGTCTTGTTTATCAAAATAAAACTGATTAAACACTGATTCAAGATTAAACACTGATTGAAGACAGTAAATTCCCACTTTTATATAAAACACCCCGTTCCAAATAATAATAATAAATTGCTTTATAATTGTACTGACATTCCATTTAATTTTGGACAATGCTTCTTTTTGTGAATCCGTGCAACTTTGGAATGACCGAATCTCTTGCCACATTGATGGCATTGATACGGCTTCTCTCCAGTGTGAATTCTCTCATGTCCTTGAAGGGCTCCTAACTGCTTGAAACTCTTTTCACAGTATGAACACTTGTAAGGTTTTTCTCCAGTGTGAATTCTCTCATGTCCTTGAAGGGCTCCTAACTGCTTGAAACTCTTTTCACAGTATGAACACTTGTAAGGTTTTTCTCCAGTGTGGATCCTTCGGTGCACTTTCAACTGAGTGGCTGTAGTAAAAGCTTTACCACAATCAGAGCACAAATACTCTTTCAGACCAGTGTGTATTTTCTGATGCTCTTTAAATTGTCCCAGCCATGAAAACGTCTTTCCACAAACAGAACACAAGTAAGGCTTCTCTTTTGTGTGAACTTTCATGTGGCCCTTTAAATCTGATTCCTTAAAAAAATTCTTATCGCACTGATCACAAACAAATGGCTTTTCTCCAGAGTGAATGAGTTTATGAACTCTGAGACTATTTGACCATTTGAAACTCTTTCCACACTGATCACATGTAAATGGCTTCTCTTCAGTGTGAATTTGCATGTGAATTTTAAGGCATTTATAGCTCTTTCCACATTGAGGGCAGGTAAAAGATGTTTTGGCTTCTGCTCTTTGAGGTAGTTCTTGTCCTTTTTTTTCTCCAGTTCTGACATCTTGACGATCCTGAATCTGATGTTTATTCTCCATTTCATTGAATTCTTCACATTCCTCTTGCACTAACACTAGAACTCCCAAGGCGGTCATTTTGACCGTTTTTGAATTTTACAGTGTAATAACTTTGTTAAAATAAAATCCATGTGGCTGTATGACTCTGACTTTTCCTAAATATGTGTATATTTTATTCTGACACTGTTATTTTATTAAAATCACAAAACACAAAACAGTTCTGAGTATTTCTACCTAGAATGGCCATGGCGGTCATTTTGACCGCACGCATTATAGATATCATAAGTCCGCTACATTTCCCGCCACTGTAACGAATGTCCCCGTTGCATAGCAACGATTTGTCTTTTTTTGTTTACGCTATTCCAACGCTATGAATATTATACATTTACGCTATAAATATTATACATTTTAGCTAACAAAATGTCATCAAAAAGAACAATGACAGCCACAGAGGTTTTAGCCATGCTTAGAATGCTTGACGATGAGGAGTCTGATGGAGGAGCAGGTAACGTTACGGATAGGGACAGCGATGTCTCTTGGTCCCTAGACAGTTCATCCAGCGCTGAGAGTGATTCAGATAATGAATTCATTCCCCGTCGAAAAAAGAGCCGGCTGGACATCTCCGATCCTGGAACTGACCTTGTTCCATCGGATAATATTCCAGGTATGTTTCTCTTCTTCTCTAGCTATATTTTTATACTTTGCGAGGCAGACTAGCTCAATAATAGTTGTAACGTAACTTCAAAGTAAAGTTAACCATCTCTAACTATCTAATGTAGGCTATAACTTTACCGATCAGATCGGTTATCATATTAACTTATTTAACACCCACCGCTGTTACCGACGCAAACACGCAACTTTCCTGATGACCGATCCATTCATTCAGATTTTTACGTCAGGCACACACCTCCACCGGCACACACACCTTTTCATTTTTATTATTCTATTGCTATTATTAGTAGCCTATAATACTATATTGTCAGGCTATTAGAAATCATAAGGACTAATTATCAAGATTATGATTTCATGAACTAAAAAAGTAATTAGTCTGTTCTTTTTTCTTTTCTTTTTTTGGCAATAGTGCAAAATCCTGATCCTTCAAATGTGCCTTCTGTGCCAAGACAACACAGTCCGCCACGAGATGAGGAGCCTGGCCCAATAAACCCCCTTTCAGCCGAAAGGCGTGAAACGGCGAAAGACGGCACAGTGTGGACCTATGTAGAGTTGGGTGAAGACAGAGGAAGGCGACAATGCCAAAATGTAATAACTGAAGCAGCAGGCCCCACAGCGCACGCCAAGCGCAATATTGAAGATGCCCTTACAGCCTTTTTGTGTTTGGTGGATGATGGCATGCTGAAACACATCAGGGACTGCACCGTGGCTGAGGCCCATCGAGTCAAGGAGGACAACCTATGGGACATGACAATCGAAGAGCTAAAAGCCTTCATTAGTTTAATTTACATTCGTGGCGCGCAAGGTGGAAAAGGGATGGATTTGGCGACCTTTTGGTCAGCCGAGTGGGGCTGCGCTTTTTTCAAGGAGACCATGTCCCGAAACAGGTTTCAGGAAATAATGCGATTCCTTCGTTTCGACAAAAGGGAAACCCGACGCACACGCTTGCGAGACAACAAGTTTGCCCTTATGAGTGATGTTTGGGATAAATTTGTCCAAAACTGCATCGCCTGCTACAAGCCTGGTGCCGACATCACTGTGGATGAGCAGCTATTCCCTACAAAATCAAGGTGCAGTTTCATACAGTATATTGCAAACAAACCGGACAAATTCGGAATCAAATTCTGGCTTGCTGCGGATGTCGACACCAAATATATGGTAAACGGTGCGCCTTATCTGGGCAAAGACGAGACGAGGAGGCCAGGTCAACGACTTGCAGACAGTGTGGTGCTGAAAATGGTCGACCCATACCTGGGGAAGGGAAGAAATGTGACCACCGACAATTTTTTTACTTCTTTTGAATTGGCAAAGGCACTTCAGGCCAAGAAAACCAGCTTGGTTGGCACGGTAAACAAGAGCAGACGAGAGCTCCCCCCGTGCGTAAAGGCGCAAAAGCCGCTGTTCAGCACAGAGGTGCTGAAAAGTGGCGATGCAACACTGACCGTGTATCAGGGCAAAAAAAAAAAGAATGTCTGCATCCTCAGCACTGTCCACACAGCTGTTGGCATCACAAGTGGCCAGAAAAGAAAGCCAGAGACGGTAACATACTACAACAAGACCAAGGTAGGAGTAGACGTTCTAGATCAAATGGCTAGAAAATATTCAGTAAAAGCACCCTCCCGTAGATGGCCAGTAGCTGTGTTCTATAACATCCTCGACCTGGCTGCAATCAACGCACACATATTGTACAATAAGTGCACAAATGAGCATGTTTCGCGGAGGGACTTCATCACGCGACTGGCGAGCGAACTTCGTTCCGACCACATGGGATCAAAAACCTCACAACTTGTGGTGCGTGAGCCAGGACCCGGGCAGGAGCAGCAGCAGATGGAGAGAAGGCGGCAGTGCCAAGTAAGGAGGAACTGCAAACAAAATAAAACCAAGGAGACATGTGCCAAATGTCGTAAAGTGGTGTGTGGGAGCTGCACACGAAAGGCGGTGTTTACCTGTGTGGACTGTGCGTAAGCGTCAGTGAATGATACGGGGTGTTTGTGCCGTTCAAATGAGCTTTGAGGAAAACTTGTCAACCTGATTTTGTTCGTTAATTTTTTTTTTTTTTTTTTTTTTTTGTTTACTGAAACTAATCGTTCTAAATCAGTTCATTTTTTTGTCTAGCTAATGTTCATGTTTTTTCTTAACCTGTTTTTGTGTATTGTGCTGCGTACTGTCCATGAAAGTTTTTACGGTGTAATGAAATGTATGTAGTGTTTTTGTTATTGTATATATGTTATAAGTATTTGTTTCATAAGATTTGTTTTTATTGTACAAAGAAAATAAGAAAATATTTATCAATTAGGCTGGAAAATAAATGTTCACATTCATTTGAATTTAAATGTTGTGTCCTGATCTTTATTATTACCTATCTTAACATTGTAAATCCATTTATTTTTAGATTTTGTATTGATTATTGAACTTATTTAGAAACAGGGCTGTACTAAACGGCATGAAGCTTTGACGTTTCCTAACTTTTTGCATGTCTATTCACGTGGTAAGTGCGGGGAAAATTTTTTTTTTTGACGCAAAACTTTCCTCAGAGGCAGCACCTGTCGGGCCAATGTTTGTTTTAAGCGGTTTTAATGGTGATGACGTCATAACATGACGACAGGAATTAAATGTTTCATCGGAAAACTTAAAAAGAAGGTTCAAATGTAGTTGTGGCATGACGAAAATGACGTTCAGTACGGCAATATGAACGTCAAAGTATGAGCGGTCAGAATGACCGCTATGGTCGTTCTAGTAGTTATAGAATTCCGGTAGTTCTAGTGTTAAATCTAAAAATGAAAATAAAATGCATTTAGATGTGATTTTCAAATATCACTTCTATTTGTTCTTGGCTTATTAACTATTATTTTTAATGCTTTAACAATGCCTTTAACTTTCACAACACCCGTGATCCTAAGATTCTGTTAATCTGACAGAAAATTAGTTACATTAATGTTTTTCAACAGACATTAATAAAGAATAAAGAATGGACACCAACCTCCTTGTTCCTCAGTGTCTTCATCTTTCTCTGCATGCTTCTCCATCTTTACAACAGCTTTCAGGTGTTACACCTTCTGCCAGACTGAATTCCAAGTTTGATAAATTGCAGTGGGAATGGCTTGAGTAATTGCTATGAGGTATGGAGGACCTGAAAAAAAAAGCGATTACAATATACATTACTTCATACAATTAATTCCACTTCATTTTTATTCAGTGATATATAGACGTCACAATAGGTAAAAAAAAAAAAGCGTATCGCAACTTCTATTTCATGCCAGCTTAAAGCAATATCACACAACTAAGTGTGCTGTTTTTTTCCTGAATATCAGCACAATTGAAAATGTGATATTGATTTTATACAACAGTTCAATAATCAAAATGGTAATATTGTGTTACATTTTAGATGTTTTTTGCTCTATTTCACAAATGAAAATAGTTTCAAAAAGATGCAACAGAACTGGGAAAAAGAACCAAACAAGTCCTATGCACTTTATCTCCATAATGGCATGATGAATCTGATCCTCTGTAACGATGAGGTAGAAACGAAGCAGAGAGAGAATCCACATGCAAGCACTACTTTAATAAAACAAACAGGTAATCCAGGGCAAACAATAGAACACGGAACTCAGGACAGGAACATAGAATAGGAAAAAGCTACAAGCAACAAGCTACAAGCAAACAACAACTGAAGCACAGAGGTTTAAATACACAGGCAAACAAGATAACAAGGGGGCCGGGCTAATTAGAAACACCTGGAGAGACTAATAAACAAGAAAAACTACAAAGGACTACAAAACATGGCACAGAACAGGAAATAACAAAAGTCCACACAAGACAAGGAGAACACAAGACAGGAATCGTGACATCCTCAAGCAAAACATACTGGATGAAATATTTGAATGCTTCTGATCCACAATCTGAATTCTGACTTGTGATACAACCTGAAACATATTACATAACAATTGAACTCTGTTTGCATCATTGAACAATTATCCTGTTATCACTGTAAAGCTGCTTTGAAACAACCTGTATTGTAAAAAGCACTAAAAAAATTAAGGTGACTTGACAGACAGTGGTTTTTCATTCCTAAAGGAGATTTAATTAGCACTTTTGAACAAATCAATGATTCAAGGCATCAATTACACGTACACTGACAAAGGGGTAGTTTACCGCTGGCAAAATGGGCTTTCAACCTGACTGCCTATGCGGTAGAATAGCGAAAAAAAAATTATCGGTGCTACCTGTTTAGAGAAAACAGAGAAAAAGAGTAAACGTTTAGCGGGAGTGAGTTCACGGGTATGGGCCACGCCA